CTCCTCTACCTCCTACCCTCGCCTATCGCTCTCTCTCTCTCCCCCTCTTTTCTTCCCCTCCTCCCGTAGCCTCTGTGTCTGTCTCTTCTTTCCATCCTGTCTTTCTCCCTTTCGCTCCCACCTCTGTGTCTCTGGATCAACCTTCTCTTTTGCCTTTACTCCCCATTCACTCGGTCGATCGTTGGCTCTCCCTCTATTTCGATATCCCTCTCTGTCTCTCCCTTCTGATCACTCACTCTCTCTCTTTCGCTCGTTTACTTCCTCTCTGTCCGTCGCTGGTACCTTCTATCCGGTAGTGCAATTCAACCATCTCTCTCTCTCTCTCACTCTTTCTCTTCCCTTCTCGTCAACTGTCGCGCTTCTTTCTCCCGATCTCTCCCCCTTGTAGCAACCCCTACCGCAAGCCTGATGTCGATGCTTCTGTCGCGTCACTCCGGAGAGCGGAGTGCTACTTCTCTCAATTCGAATAGCGGCTTGTTTTCCGATCGAAATTTCACGGCGAGAATTTTCTACAACGCCTCCGCGGAAGAAGGGCCGCGTTGTCGCGGCTGATTCACGCGTGTCTTCCTCTTATCGCATGCTACGGGATTTACGAAAACCTAACGAGCGAAACTGAAGATTAAATCCAAGAAATGCAGAGTACACGTCAATTTTTCCGCATTCGAAAAATCACATTCTGTACACCCAAGTGTTCCGTGGAACTTGTTCGATCTCGAGACACGAATCTGCACAGAGCGAAAATAAGTTGGAGCGTATCGTGTCCCCTTTTTTCTCTCCTCTTCTACTTCTTCTTCCTCGAAAAATTCCATTACCGGAGTACATTTCTAAATCCTGGCACATTCTACGCGGTTTCCTTCGAGATATACACCGTGAACGGAGAGACACGGTCGCAATTAACGGGACGTTTTTCTCGCGCTGTGTGTCTCTCCCCGGGCCGGATCGATTTCCACGACGACGTCCGACTTCTGGAAATACGAAGGAGGCTGGCGCGCGCGCCACTGGACATCTGGATGGACGATTCCGTCTCCAATTCCGGCATGCGGGACGGAGGCGTCTCGTAATCAAATATTGATACTACGCTAGACTAAATCGTTCGACTGTGCTAACAGATTAGGGCGTACGTGTGCTGCTGCGGACGGGTCCGTCGCGATCGTATCGACAAAGAGGACCACGACAACGAAGAATACAAATGCCGAGGGAAATCTTATAACCGTTGCAATCTCGGAAAAATCGAAATTTTCCCTTCACAAGCATACTGTACCGTTTGTATTTCCGGTAGAATTTATGGAACGTCCCGAAGATGTACTACTCTTTTTTCCTTCAACGTGGGAGTACAAATGTAAAAATATTTCGTGTCGTTTGTATTCGAGAGAAAATCTCTGGAAGATCTGAAGATCCAGTATTTTCCTTTTAACGCGGGAAAATATTTCACATGATCACGTACTTGGAGTAAAATTTACCCAATTTGCTAAATTTCTTTAATTTTGCAAATTTAAAAATTCTTCTCAGACATTTTATTTCTTTTTTCAAAAGTATTGAAAAGAAGAAAGTGAAAATTAATACGTTTATCTTGACGACCCCCGAGTTAGATTAGTTGATGTTCAGTGTTTAAAATATTTCTACGTTATGTTCAATGGTAAGTAAAAATTTCGAGCGTGTCTCGAGTCTTTCGCTGGACGAGAGAGCAGTCCACGTCGAAGATCGTAATAAAGGAATTAATTAAACGAAGTATAAAATTTCATAACGTCCAGTCGACCCCACCGTTCTACTTCGAACTGTGCTGAATATTTTCCTTCATTGTCGGCCGTTTAATTAATTCGTTTCATCCCCCACAGACAAACTGGCCAATTCATTTCGATCACGTGTCACACTTTCCTTTATGTTTATCCTATTTATTAATTCGAGGATAAATCAACCTTCTAAATATATACATATATACGTTGGTTTATTTGCACTCGTTCGCGAGGATCAACCATAAATTGGAAGAATAACGAGAACGAGGTAAATTTTGATTCGTCCGGTTCTTGCACGGAGGTTGGATCGTATATTTTCCAGGTTTAATCAGAGATGAAAAGAGCCGTCGTTTCGAGACGAGTTAACAGGTCGAACGAAGAAGAGGGAAGGAGGGACGAATAAAAAAGGGAGAGGAAAAAAGGAAATACGAACAGACCCATTAGATTTCGTACACACACCCGGCAGTCCCGCGCCAGATTGTGTCGATCTATTTTAAGGTGATGCCAACTAACTTCTGCGTCTGTTTCTCATTAAATTGCGCTTTGACCTCGAATCTTCTAAATTTGGAACGGTCTCCGCCGATTAGCCGGTGTTCGACGCGACGTGGACCATCTCGGGGATTTTTCAGACGCTCTTTAAAAGGGAATGGAATCGACCTGCCACATCGACGAGCCAGAGAGCTCGAGAGAACCCTCGAGGATTGCTCGACTGACGTTAGTTAAACGCGATTATTTCACCAACGTGAAGAATTCGAAAATATCCGAGGTTACAACGATTTAATACGGAAATATTCAAATTGATGGGAAATTATCAGAAATTTTAAACACAGTGGAAAATTCATCGCTGTAATTATAATTTTGCGTTTAATTTACGGACACGAGGAATTGAGAAATGTTCAATTTTTAGGCTTCCGGTGTCTTCGTATGGAAATATTAAGATTGACAGGGAATTTTCAAAAGATTTTTATCACAGTGAGGAATTCATCGCTCCGATTTTAAATTTGCGCTTAATTTACGGACACGAGGAATTTTAGTGTCTTCGTATGGGAATATCCAGATCGACGGTAAATTTTCAAAAATTTTGCTCAGAGAAAAATTCATCGAGACTAGAATTCAAAACTCCTCCATTTCTAAACCTTCGGGTGCATCAATACGGAAATATCCCAGTTTATAAAAAATTCCAGAAACTTTGATTCTCAGCGAGGACCAAAGATTCCTCGCCCCAATTGTCAATTTCGCCTTTAATTCGTTCATAAAAATTACCAAGCTTCTGCAGTCTTCGTAAAATCGTGGAAAATCTGGTCGCTGAATACTTAATTTTCTGAACTTCCAAAACCTCTATATCGCAAATTGATCCCAGCTAACCTTCTCCACATCGTACACCGTTAAAATGAATTACACCGAGCATAAATGATACAATGATCTAAGGAAACGGCGAATCCTCGTACGTGGGTACCGCGTTATTGCAAACAGTGTTCGCCACGAAGGACGCGGCGTATAATCAGCGGCTAAGTGTCACCGTGAAGTGACAGCTTCCTAGATTGCAGCTATTTTGCGCGAACGGAATGTTGATCGCTCGATACTTGGCGCCAACGAGTCTGCTCGGTCGGTAATCATCGGTGCGCACCGGAAGTGGCGCGGCTAATTCAGCCGTAGCGAGCAGTTATCATGATAGAAACGCGGCGTATCAATTATCGTCGAATTTCTGAATTAAGTCCCCGACTTACCTAACTATCGTGCCTCGTTACGACACCTTCTCTTGCCCACCGTTCGAGAAATAAACCTTACACCTTCAAGATCATACAACGCGTCGTTCGATATAATCGAACGTTGATACCGAGAGAGCGCGGCCATGGAATTAATCGGTCCAGCAATTGCGTGTCTGCGACTTAATGAAGCTCGAAACGCGACGTTCGTGCCGTGTAATCCTGTTTCGCGATCAATCAACGGCTGCAAGTTGGGACGTTTCAGACGAACAATCGGCTCATCCCCCAAGTAATGCCGGTATCTCCAACAACTGACAATAGACGCAATAATATACAATATTTCGCACTCGAATTAGAATATCAATCGTTTTAACGAAAACTCTTGGAGAAGTGATGAAAAAGACACTTAACACATTAAGGACCGCTAAGAAATCTATAAGACATACGCCTAGGACCGCACGTTTTTGGGCAAGCTTGCACGTTACTAAAATCCTCGTTACTTTTTTATTCACGAAGCAATTTTTGCGAAACTTTCAGAAATTGTAAAATAGGATGCATCTTAGGTATTATTGAAAAAAAATTATGTTTTTTAATAATTATCATAACTTTTTTACTTAAAAAATAAATTTTTACGAAATTTTTAGAAATTGTAAAATAGGATGTATTTTAGGCAATTATTAAAAAAAATTGGTTTTTAATAATTATCATAAAATTTTATTTAAAAATCAATTTTACCAAAGTTTCTAGTACTTTTTTAAAGTATGATATTGCGTGAAAGATTTTTCTCTATGAAGAGGAACCATACAAAATTTACATATATATCTTGATTCGCTTCGAAGACGAAGACTATTCGAATCACCAAAATGCAATGCAACGTGTCGAATTTTCTCTGAGACTAAGCTGTTTTTATTTCGGGTTCGTGCATTTATACAGTCTTTCATAGCTTGACCTGTACGGTTTCCACCAATGGGATTGATCTCTTCTGTATGGATGAGACGAAAACGGTTAATACATTGACTATTGATGTAAACACTTAAATGGATAATGTAGATACAATGTATCAAAGTAATTGACATCTAAAGACAACGTGTAGAAAACACGGGTTTGTCTCGTGATCCGTCCGTAACAGACGGGGCGCGCAGCACGAGAAAACTCGTGAGCGGTCCTTAATGTGTTAATCCTATTTTCTGCCTTTCATAAAAATGCAATTTAAAGAATAACACCGGAACTAAAATTAAAAAATGACGAGGACTTTACGAAATTCACTTCACTTTACCCAATCAAACAATTTCCAACAACTCTGAGAGGAATAATGTAACGTAAAGAACAACGCGGGAGAGAAAATTAGAAAACGATACGGATTTTTCTCCATCGAATGGTTCTCAAATTTTCTCCGTTGATACACTCGAAAAAGCTAGGCAGCATCGCGTTACATTTACAAGAAGGATTTTGCAATTCCGCGCGTGTTCGTTTCGCAGATTGGCAAGATACCCGGTGCCATTAGGTACGAGGCCGGCGCAAGGCTGGGCTACTTTCAACAGAAACGTGAGTGCACCCTTACCTTCTGTAGTCGCTTTTGCAGAGGATCATGCCGCTCCTGGTGTAGCACGAGTGGCCGATTTCCGCCAGTGCCGCGCCACAGTACGAGCATTTCAGGCAGCCGTTGTGCCAATACCGATCCATCGCTAGCAACAGCCATCTTTCGACTATTTGACCGCCGCAACCGGCACACTGCTGGATCCCCGTTGGTCCGCTCGGGCCACCTTCTTGCTGCAATCACAGGGAAAAACCGCCGTTTCATCAGAAAATTCATAACGAAACACTCGGAGATATTGGTCAACAGAGCAGCTGGATTTATCAATCCTTTGCACTCCTCTTGCATTCGTAATATGAAACTGTTGTAATAAGGCGAATTAACGAGAGAAATGAGAAGGAATATATTTATGGATTTATGAATTCGTAAATATTTGTAATTTTTCCTTTCTGAAATCAAGCTTTCGATTGTTTCAAATTTCACTGTAAAAGTGTGCTAAAGTTGAGAGTCGACCGTATCCAAAATGCTTAGATCGCGGATCTATGGACTTATGGATCCGAAAATATAAATAAATTCGCGAATATCTATAAATTTTTCTTTCCAAAATTGTACCTTCGATTTTTTGAAATTCCACTGTAAAAGTGTGCTGAAATCAACGATCGACGGAATTCAAAAATGCTTAGAGTGCGGATCTATGGATCGGAAAAAGGAAATAAATTCGTGAATATCTTTATTCCAAAATGAAACTCAATTTTCGAAAATTTCACTGAAAAGTATGCTAGAGCTGCTCAGAGCGATAATTCATTAAACGGCCCACACCGAACAGAAACGGCCTGCTCCAAATCCACCGAAAGATTTTCGACAAACAGATTTCGAGGAATCTCATAGGCCAGAGTAAATAATGTTCCAGGCACACGTAATCGTGTTTCCCGGCAAGTTCTCGAATAATAATTGGCTCACGCAATTAGAGAGGGACGAAGTTACCGGTGGTGACTTCAACTTCTTGCGGGATTGTTAGCAGCGAAGTTCGCCAACGAACGATGTAGCGAAGTGCAAATTGATTCGTCGAAACGAACCTAGTGAATGGTACTTTCACAGACCGAGCACACTTTCCAAATGCATAGAAGTAGACAATACGTCCAATTAAACCGAACCAATAAATACATGTAGATATAATTGAACGTACTCCAAAAACGAGAAAGAAAACAAAAAAAGAATCTCCGTTATTCTCTCCGCGTGTAAAACAAAATACCAACAATCGCTATTTAATAAATCACCACAAGCACGTTCGTTCTTTCAAAACGTTCAACTGCTAAAACACCGTGAAAATGATTCATAAAATTATCCCCCGTAAAAACGTTTATTTATTATCCTCGAATTGAATTGTACACCGAAACAAAAAAAGAAAAAAAAACGAACGCCCTCGAAGGCGATAAATCAATCCCATTGTTTCCCCGGATACGTTTTTCGTCATTTCGTAACAAGCGAGGCCGCCATTAACGTGAGCGCAATTACACGCGTAATCGCGTAAGGACGCATTAGTACAACGTCGATTAAACGGCACAGTGTGGCGGTGGCAGGCTGGCTCGTTTCAATCGAGCATCATCCTCCACGCGAGAGAGAGAGAGGATCACCGAAGACTTTGGCTGTTTTATCACGTGTCCATTATTTGATTATGTAATGGAAAATGTTGAGCATTAATGACAGGTTCTCTGCGACGATCATACGCCGCGTAGAAGAGAACGAGAGAGGAGGGAGGCGCTTCTATCGACTGTGATTTAAAGAGAGGAGGCAGAGAAAGAGGAGGCCGCATTGCTATAATTAATACGAAATCGAAAGTCATTAACTGGCGATAAATCATCGCGGAGCGTCAAGCGAGCAATCTCAGCGAACACTTGGGTCGCTCGATTATGTAAACGCCGGTAAGCGTGAATAATCGTGGCCGACGTTGCTGATTATTAAAATATACGGCTCCGCGATAAACCGTCGCTGCCTGTGAATTCCTTCACCTGGTTAGCGGGAACATTGATAAAGACACTATTATTTTTTTTTTTTCGGTAGAGTAGCTTTTCTTTTTTAAAGTAAGGTAGTTAATTTAATAATTCTTTTTTTTTCGAGTAGTTAGTAAGTATTTCATTTTGGTTTGTGCGAAAAGGAAATTCTAATTCGCTGTTTAATTCGATGGAAAACAGCAAGTGTCGCTTGAATAATTTCGAATGCTCCTCCATTTTTCTATCTAGCTGTGAATTTCATGATCTGACATCAAAAATATTGACAAAGATACCGTGTAACGTTACATTTATCGTATTCTTTTTTCTTTTTCAAGTAGATTAGCTAATTTAACCCATTTGCATCTGAGCTCTGAATAGGCTACTAGCGTTATTCATCTGAGACGTTCAATTTGGCAGTCGGCCCAATATTTCTCGTGTTTTTGTTTATTACTGATTTTACTCCGAAATTACGCGCAATACAGTAAATTCTCCACAAGTGTCAGTCCGCAAGGAAGCTAAACCTGACACTTGTAGAGTCAGGGACCGCTTTTTCGAGCCTCAAAGATAAGCCCCCCTTCGAATAAAAGATAAGGATGAGTCGAGGCAACCAGGCGATTTAAATACCAACTTTTTTAATTTTACGTTTTTTTATCCCGAAATTTTTCTTAACATATTGATTAGATTTTTCTGACATCAAACACGACATAATTTGAACATTTACTTATTAACACGTTCACAAATTATATCGTGTTTGATATCATTTTCATCAGAAATATCTCACCAACATGTTAAAAAAAATTCCAGATGAAAAAAAGTAAAATTAAAGAAATTATATTTTTCTATTATGATTTGGCGAGCCGTGAAATCTCGTAGAAGAAACCGAGTGGTGTAGCGTTACACGTTTGACTGACTGCGAGCGAGATAACATAGGCGCAGCCTAGGCGTAGGACCATCTATACTGACACTTGTAGAATCCAAACTGAGTGACACTTGTAGAGAATTTACTGTAATTCAAAATGATTAAGAAATTTTTCAGCTTCGAAATCCTTCTATACAATTATTTAGCGGATTATTCCGCTCTAGGATGCAAATGGGTTAATCATTTTTTTGGAATAGTTAGAATTGCTGTAATATTTCTTTTCGGTTTGTGTAGAAAGGAAATCCGATTCGCTGTTTAATTCGAAAACTTTCGATTCGATGGAAAACAGCAAGCGTCCTTTGAACAATTTCCAATTCTCCATCCCTTTTCTAGCCGGTCATGAACGTCGTTAATTTCTGTCACGAGCACAATAGATTCTAAACGGATTTAAGCGAGCCATGCTAATGGGCGGCCACTTCAAGTCCTTCCTACAACCCACTATGACTCAGGAATCAATTCACTTCCTAAACGATACACATTCATGCGACATTTTTTTCTCCCCCCTTTTATACTCAACACCAGACTAGAAAATCTGATATACATTATCGAGTAACATTCTGCATGCTAAAAGTCACTTTCTAATTATTCCCCGGTTCACTCCGGATAATCACACGAATTAATCAGTTTAAGTAAAACGGAATTCTATTAATACGTAAAAACCTTTGCTTTCCAATTTTACCGTTGGAAGAGTCTGGCAAAATTCTGATCTAGACGAAAATGATCAATTTTTCTAATTAAAGCGATATAAATCTTTTTTTCTTTTAGTTTGTACCTGTTCGGTGTGTTTGTTATCTACAAACCTAAAGTTTTCAATTCGTCTGCATTTCATTTATAACATAATCGAGACCGACATTTTATCTAAAAATCAATGACAATTTCATTTTTCCTACTCCCTACTCTACGAAACTGATAATACTAATCTCGATCATATTGCGCGACCCAGATGCTGGATTAATACAAATGTAGCCTGGAGGTATAGTCGGTGGAAGAAATACAGTCAGCTCGTAAATTAAAGCATTATGCAACAGCCAGGGTCGATGTAGCATTTTTCCTTTTTCGATTAGAAACTGAATTAAAACTAAGGCATACACTTCGTGCAACCCTGACTCAAGTTTCAGGTCCTTATCATCTCGGGTTTCTATCGATTCTCCTGTCTATACGTTCCAACGTGTAAACTTTGACACCTGGTCGATTTTACGACCTCGCTATGTTTCTTCCGTCAACTATACCAAACACTCGGCTTAACCCTTTCGTTGCTATTAGCGTCTATAGGTATCTCCAAAATTTTCTTCGACCGTTCTATCTTAAGTTAACCCTTAACTGATCACGTGTCGTCTGTGACACTTCTTCGTTTATAAATCTGCCGACATTTCTTCAATTTGCTACACTAAATTCACACTTTCTAATTTAAATCTATTAACTCTCTGGGGCATAGTGGGGTAAAAAGTGTCCCACCTTTTTAGTACTTACACATGCACAGTGGGATGTTTTCCATCCCACCCTGAAACATTAGGAAAACAAAACTAATCTAATTTCACCTGTTTTCACAAATTTCACGGTGAGATTATTTATGTCTCAACATTTCTTTTTAAGTGTTAATTGCTTTATGTCGTAATTCATACCTACTTTGTTACATTTTTTTTTAAATAAAATTCTTGCGCAACTAAAGCCTGCTTTTGTCTGAAAATTCGGTGCTTCAAAGGGTTAAGGTACCGATGCAAAAAATAAACGTTTAAGTTCAGTTTCTATCGAGTTTTAAACAAATTTATGAGAATTTCAGTAAAAAAAAAGTATCAATCTCAGCGTTTATGCACGA